TTCTGTTGAAGAAAGATGTTGAATCTATTTAATAATTCTTGAAAAATAATTTATTTCTGTTTATTTCTGTGTTATTGATTAAGCATCATATGAGGTGGGGGGTAGTTCCCTATTTTCTTTTGCTGGGAGTTTGCAACCCTATTAGTTAGGTTGCTTAATATTTCTGCTAAGTACTCTTTAAAATACCAGAATAGGAAGGATGTTGCAGGTTTAACTTTATTAGATTGATCAGTGTTGCTGAACTATGAAATATTTTGGGTGCAGTGTATTTATTTATTTATTTATTTATTTATTTATTTTACATACAGGTATAACAGAATAGCTTTAGTGTTGTTGTTTTTTAACTTGAGTATGAACTTATACAAAAAGCAGCAAGATATTAAAAAAAAACCAGTTTTATTGATTAAAAAACACTATATCGGATTCATATCGGTATCGGCAGATATCCACATTTATGATATCGGTATCGTATCGGACATAAAAAAGTGGTATCGTGCCATCTCTACTCCCCAGTAACTCTCTTCCTCTTTCTGTTGCAGCCTCCCACAGTCCCGATTACGGCGTTCCTGCGTAACTCATCCCCCGGTCCCTTGGTTTTTCTAGTTTCTCGCGTGTTTTCCTTTGACCCTTCCAGGACACCTTTAGATGAAATAAAGTTTATTTTTTCGTACTCCTGTGCGTATTGTCTCTGCTTCTGGGTCCAGCTTGTGTACTGAACTTCGGTTCATGACAGTATGTAGTCTGTGGCTTAAAAAATACCAATAAGCTAAACAACCTACAAAGAGATAAACAACTAAAGAAATCCTCCATATATAGAGCTGATACCACCTGTGAATCATTGAGGTTCAGCAAATGTGTTGAATAAATAAACGGGTTTGTTTGTTTATAAAAACAGAAATGGCAAATCAACAGACTCCACCTTGTTTTATAAATGCAACATGTTTATGAGGTTTGCAAAAGACATTTTCTATCAATTAATATCACTCACAGTGAGACTGAAGTTTTAAAGTGGCTCCTTCTCCTCATTGAGAAGTTTCAGCCACGCTGCAGGTGTGTTATAAAGTCTGGCTTCATATGAGTGATGTGGTGGCATCGTTTTGAAACGCAGTGCATTCAAACCAGGTGACTTGTTAACAGCTAAGATGCTTAAGAGATTTAAAGGAATTTCTCAACCTAAAACCGCTCGTTACGTAGCTGCAGGCCCGCGTGAGCTGAGCCGTGTGGGTTCTGGATTATTGGGTTGGTGCATTTTAACTTCTGAATCGCTAATCCGCGAACGTGGTTCTTTAAACAGCACACAGCTGCAGCGTATGGACGCTCACTTCCACCAAGAGGAAGAAAAAAGGATTGAATAAAGCAAATAAGGAAATTAATTTAAGGACTGGGCCTTCCATAGAGGCTTTGTTTGTTGTCTCAGTGCTGTCAGTCTTTTTCAGAATAACTTGGCATTTCTCGAGGCTGAAGTACTGTCCCTGTTAAAAACAGAGGACTACATTATATGCCATTTTGAAGTTCTCCACATTTGCAAACGATGACTGGTCACACAAACCAAGAAGGCTCGAGGCTGATATCATATGTTATTTGCTATCTTGATGTCTTTGTGACACTGGGCTTTGCCTCCAGAGGTAAAGTCAGAAGATGAGCCAGATTTTTTTCAAAGTAAAAGCATCATAATTCCCATCTTTCTCCTGTTCTCCTTCCACACCAGTTTTAATATTTCTATCCTCACTTATCCGCTTCCCTCTCAAGTGAAACTCGTGAACTCTGACCCCGTGCTTGAGCTAAACTCTTGTGTAACAGGTTTATCCGTCTTGCTCCCAGCCACTGTAATCCTGCCCTTATTGTTGCTTATCTTACTTAACGCTCTTTTGATTCCTTTTGAACAACTCGCCTCGCCCGTTCTCTCACCTTTTGGTCATGGCTGTAGGCGAGAATCCAGTCCTCCTGCTCAGGGTGGAAGAGAAGGCTGAGGATGTAGAAATTCAGCCGGTACTTCTGGTAGGTGGCTCCTTCATCGGAGCTGATCAGAAGGCTGCTCTCTATCTCTGGATCGGTTAGCAGCATGATCTGAAAATGTCACAAAGATGAAAGATTAGGGACGCTGCAAGCAGGCTGAGGAAACAGCTCACGAAGCAGCAGCAGTAACGGTTAGCCCAGACAGAGCAGAAAGACAGGGCAGCGGAGGAGAGCCTACAGTGGAACATTTGTGCATCAAAATGCGAGCGTGTGAGTTTATTTCTCTGATTGTGCTGAATTCTTTGTCGCTTTTCTTCCAATTCACCCACTAAAAGACAAACACACAGAGACAAGTCAATCAGAGCTGATTACCATATCTGAGATATAAAGCATATTATTACCAGTGAGGCTGCAGATTAGCATATAAAAACTTGTCATCCACAGTCAGTTTTCCACTGATGATACCATATCGCGGAAAATAATTTGTATCTGTTAGGTTTGATGATATAATCAGTATGATACATCTCGCAGCGAATGGGTGCGTGTAACAGCGGCGGCGTGCGCCCGCTGTTTGTCTCTGCCTTCATGCTCGCTGCCTGTGCTCAGTCAGGCCTTAAGAGCTTTGATTTCCCACGAGCTTCTTTCTCTTCTTAGAGGTCCAACTTCTTTTTTTTTTTTGCCAAATTCTGGCACAGCCCCCAGAAAAAGGACAAAAAAACACCCTCCAAAATTCCTGCTTATTATCAGATGCAAATGTAATTGAATCGGTGGACCTCAACCGCCATAAGTACTGTCAGCATCAGGAGTAGCAGTAAAGTAGCAGACAGTTTGCTGAGGTCAGACACTAGAAGGTGTTTGTGAGTAAAACA